ATGCGCATCGTCCTTGCGCAGACGCCATGCTAATCTTCCTTGTATCGTTCCAATTTTGACGGATGTCCCGAAGGACTGCACTACGGATAGCAGCTGAGGTCATCGATATCGAGCCGATCACCCCCGGGTAACTCAAAGATATTCGGCTCCGCTCATCGGGCACCTCGGTCCAGTCCGAACCCGGGTCCGTATTTTCTATCACTTCATGGGTGCATCCACTGAGCTAACTTATTGGATTACTGCTGGTTCCGAAGACCGGTGCCTGGATCTCATCCCACAAAAAAATAAAAAATAAAAAATAAAAAATAAATAGTAAAAAAATAAAAATAAAATAAACTTAGAAACCCTTAGGAACACAGCTGAAGGGGGGGGGACCGTCGTTACTCAGTCCTTGGTCCTGTCCCGCGGACCACAGTAAAATCCCCTCGCCAAAAAAAACAAGGGGGATAGTCCCCCGGGACCCTCAACCCCTCGGCTCACTCCGACATGCTCCCCATCTGTTCCGCTGCTCACTGCTGGCCTCGATCCCGGGATCCGCCTGGTGAGAACACAATGACGTAACCTGTAACGCTAAGCCCAAGCTTGAACTAGTTGCGCGCGGCCCTGTATATGAACAGTAGCTGCAGCCAGCCTGGGCCTGTAGCAGCAATACTAAGGTTGTTGCGTGATCTCCCATTCACCTCCACGGCCCTGTACGCACGCACATGCGGTTAGGGGCCGGATCTTGCTCGGCATGTCACACTTGTGGCCCCCATAACACCGCGCGGAGGCCACTGCTCGCGTCTACGGTTCCTACGCACCGGCCCATGCTGTGTGAAGGGGTAAATTTTTCGTTTTTTGGCTACCGTCGCACATGCAGCACAAGTGTGCAGCCACCTAGCAAATCCACTTTCGATGGCGCATGCCGTACGAATGTCGGTGCGCCATGGTCAATTCAATAGAAGAAAACCTTCTCTAGTTTTAATCAAAACCAGAATTTTTGCTGGCGGAAACACCGACTCTATAGCATCAAAAATAAAACTCATCACGCGCGCCTCAAAATTGCGCACCCACACATACGTTACGTCCCGTCAACCGTTCAGTCAACGCGAACAAAACACGATCGCAACTTGTGCAGTGTACTCAAATTTCGACCCAAGCCTATTTTCTGTCACTTGCAAAAACCAGGGCGGATACCCTTGTAAGGGTATTCGTGCCGACAACGTTTTACTTATATACGCAGAAGTCACAAGCAAGTGCATCAATCAAACGAGACATAATTTTTTAATCATAGTTCGATCAGAAATAAAATATCTGGCCGACAATCAACGCCGGTTTCCACAATCACCAAAAGCAAAAGAGATCACGTGCGCCTTAAGTCTGAGCGCCCACACACTCTCTACTCTAATCAACCATCCTGTCAATATAAACCTCAGACACATTCGTGCCTTGTGCGGTATACTTAAACTTTAAACCAAACCTATTTTTCCGGTCACTTGCAAAAACCAGGGCGGATACCCTTGTAAGGGTATTCACACCGACAACGCCGACTCTTCAACCGTCAATAATTAAAAGATCATGCGCACCTCAGACTAGCGCGCTCACACACTCTCTGCTCTAGTCAACCATCCAGTCAACGTAAACCACAGGCACAGCCGCGCCTCGCGCGGTATACTTAAACTTTCAATCAAACTTATTTTCTGTTACTTGCAAAAAACAGGGCGGATACCCTTGTAAGGGTATTCGCACCGACAACGTTGACTTCCATGTTGTGTCGTTCAACAATCTCCTTCAATTGTTGATTCACGTGTCCTTCCGTGCCAACGCCTGTCGGGGTTCCTCACGGATGGACCCTCACATTAGACAACAGAGTCTCGATCGCAATATTTCCTCGCTTGTTCCCTGATCGGAGAACCTCGACTTTCCACATTCCAGCGTTAGCCTTAGCCTCCTCCTTTCCCTTCGTAAACGCCGAGATCTTCTTTTCCAGTAAGACAAACCTTCTATCAATAGCAACTCTCATCTCGTCTTTCTCCCGCTTAAGTCTGGCCAACTCGTCAAAATCCATGCCAGGTTCGACAACCGAAATGGATGGTGTCCCTCCATTTGTTGTCGTGTCAGCATCGCAATGTCCTCACGCAACTTAGTAAGTTCATTAGCTTCATGGTCCTTTTTGTCAATCTTTGCGCACACCATTTCTCATTGCTTGTTCAAGTCCTGACTCATTTTCAAGTGTAACTCTTCCCTCTCTTGATTGTCTTTCAACCGTTTCTCCTTGTCTTCTCTCTCCTTCCTCTTTGGTTCGACTCCTTCTTTAGCGGCTAGCTCCTTCGTCTCGCCAGCATCGTGTTTGACCTTGATCTTCCCGACAATTTCCTCAAGAGTGACAACCCTGTTACGTAACCACCCTTTGTGGCCTGAATACTGACTAGAAAACACCGGACCCACTGTACCTATCCCTACGTTGTGACTAGGTGCTGTAAATAATGGTTGAGCGGAAACGATCACAGTGCTTGTGCTAGGCTGAACTCCATTGGTTTATCTATCTGGCAAAGGACAAAAGCGCGAAATGTGGTTTTGCTGCCCATAGTTATAACATGACGTATTATCAGCAATCCGCGTGTTCGTGTTTGGTGCCATTGTTAAATAATGACCGAAACTACTCAAAACGTAGTACTACTTCTACGGTGGTTACTCCGTGCGTGAATGTCACTATTATAGCATTCACGAGTAGGAAACAAAAAACGAAGAACATGATACCACTGACATAGACCAGTAAAAACGAAAGCAGTGGGAAAAAAATGAAGGAGGAAGACAAAGAAAAACAGAGATACAACCCAAATGCATCTCGAACGAGACTCTGATAAAAATATAGTATGAAAAACATAACGTGATGTGAACCGCTGGTGTCTAACCCGACCGGTTTCGCGTGGCCGCCAACCACGCTCATCAGGGGTCTTTGGAAAGTCGGTATCGAGTACTAAAACGCTCGATAGGCTTTTATCTGTGATCGATCGTCAGATGCCGAAAATTGTAGAAGACTCAGTACCAGTCTAACAAATTCGAAAACACTAAGGAAAGCTTAAACCACCTGTACTTCCTAGAGTCGTGCCCGTTAACGCGCCATGATTTTAGGAAATTTACTGACCACTACAGGAGCGCCCGAATTCATCCGACTAGAAACGTTTCTACTCTATTTTTTTCAGCGGTCGATAGTTGGGTCAAGTATTGGGAAAGGCCTAAAAAACTTACCAATTTCATAACGACGGTTCAAACCTCAGAAAAAACTACACAAAAAGTCCCCAACCCCCCACATCAAAGATGGGCGTCAGAGGGGTATGCCACAAATTAATCAAAACTTTCAGGGGCATTTCGAAAATTGTCCCAAGAAAAAAAAAAGAGAAAGAAAAAAGGAACCCCCCCCAGAGAAAAGCACAGGGATCGACTACGTGTTCAACTCATATGGCACACAGGGGAGGAAAAAGAGAAGAAAAACAGTGGCTGGATTGTACACACATGTAACTGCTAATGATAGATCAAGGGCTCGAACCATGGCTCGAAGCAAATCGCCAGGGGCCTTTCTCCCACACTTCATCGCACTCCTGCCTATGCTCTGCGCTCGCCCCTGGCGGACTTACACTCACTGCTGGATCGCGTCCTCTCGACTCCTGCGCCCGCATGCGGATCTGTCCCTTGATAGGTTCCCCCCCTTGCGAGTGTTCTTCATGGATCTTCACTTTTTTATTATGTCCATCTGATTGTCTTAGGATTCGAGCACCGGTCTGTGTTTTTTTTTTTCTTCTCTCATCTATCTCATTTTTCTTGCTAGTACTCATCTATCTCATCCTCTCAATAGTCTATGTATAGTACGGGGAAACACCAACCAACCCGGATCTCTCCCCAGCCCACGGGGTAGGTTGGCACCACAGGAGTGGTGCGAGAGCAAGGCTGTACCAGTCCCTCATCACGGTGACGAGGGGTGGGCAGGCATTGCGGATGGGGGAAATCGGCGGTGCTAGTGCCGAGCAATGGCCAGTCACTGCACCTCCCCCCCCCCCCCCCCCCAAACCCCACACGGGGGTGTCTAATGGCCAATATTGTCGCTGCATAGCAACCAACAACATCGACCGAAGTCCTGCGAATGCTGGCTTGGGGGGGCAACGGGTTATCTCTAGCTGGTAGAACACCAAGCTTGCCCAGGCACGTCGTGAGGCCAATGGGATTGAACCCACGACCTCCTGAATGCAACTTCTGTGCCTTACCAACTGAGCTAGGCCCGCTGGCCCACCGGTCTGTCTTTCAGCAGTTCAGTGGGGTACCAACTGAAGCTACCTGAAGCATGCTTTGGGAAAAGGCCGGTCAGATGGATTCCAATCCACGGTCAGTAACGAAGAGCATGCCAGGCCCCTCAACTGGGACCTAAGGGCCAGATCCCACTGGCAAAGTGGCAAAGAGGATTGGAAGAAGTGTCTGAATCTGGACGTGCTACACGCAGAGGTGCAGAAAAGTAGATCAATCACAAATTTTCGCACCTCTCCACACACACGTCCACATTCAGACATTTCTTCCAACCCTCTTTGCCAGTGGGATCTGGCCCTAAGTAGCGACCCGATCATTCCGTCCGCTTTAGGTAAGTGTGTCAAAGGGCCTCGCTACAGTACTCTCGACATGCACAAACGTCCGCATTAGGTAAGTGTAAAGGGCCTCGCTACACTACCCTCGACATGCACAAAAATCAAAATTCATGGCGTTGTATCTTGCCGTGTTCTAGCGGAAGATTCGCTCTCCTTTTGCAGAAGTCGAGAGTAGTGGAGCGCGGCCCAGGGCCTAAGGGCCCAGGGCCTAAGGGCCTCGCCACACCACTCTCGAAAGGTGAAAAAGACAAAAATATGGATGGTGCATCTGGCCATGTTCTAGCGGGAAGTTCGTTCTCATTTTGCACATTTCGAGAGTGGTGTGGCGATGCCCCAAGGTAGGGTTGTAGGTGTAGGCGCGCTTGACTCGGGAGATCTGGAGAGTTGGGGGAAACCGAAACCGACCTAATAACGAGGGGAGGGAACAAATCCCCCAGACCATCCTCCTTCAACCATCTCATCGTCGTCCCCTAGGCGCGACGAGGAGAGGGAGAGAGAAAGAAGAGGGAGGAAAGCAGCGTTTGCGCATGAACGCGCGGCCGACTCTCTGCGCGATTGTCTTCTCGGCTGCCCTGACTCCTCTCTCTTTCCATCAGATGCCACGTGTACGAATCGCAGCGTGCAGGAACTCAGCAGCAGCGTGGTAGTCTCTCAACGCAGCGCTTGTGTCGAAGCCCAGGTCTGCAGAGCTGACCGCCACTTTTGACAGGTCGGTGCTTCACCACCGGTATATCAGTCCAGATGCAGCGAAAATGATCGTACGTTATGGCCCTTGTGGGGAAGGGGATGCTCTGCTTTCTACAGTTTCCCTTGTACTGTTTTGCAAATCGGGTCGTGGTCTTTTCGTGTATGCTTCTCTTCTTCTCCCTGCTTGTTACGTCTCCTCTCCGTTCTGTTTATTGGGAGTTTGCTGGGTGGTATTGGATGTCTTTTTTTTTATGTTCTATTCTGAATGTTTTGGTGTTCACTTGTTTGGTGATTTGTTGTTGATAGGTGTCCTACCTAGCTGCCTTCCCCTAGCGGGTCAGTCGGTCACTACTCAAAATGGATGAGGTGTATGATGTCATCGTGCTCGGCACGGGATTGAAGGAGTGCATCATCAGCGGACTGCTCTCCGTAGATGGCTTGAAGGTGAGTTATTGGTGGCTGATACTCTGGTTCTCCGTGTATGGCGGTCTCTCTTGTTCTCTCTGTATGCGAGTGTGTCCACAAATGAACGAGCGGTGAGTTATAGGTGCCTGGTAGTCTCGTTCTCTCTGTATTGCGGTTGCTCTTGGTCTCTGTGTATGTGATATGGCGGGTCAATCAACGAAGGGACGGTGAGTTATGGGTGCTTGGTGGTCTGGTTCTGTGTGTATGCAGGTCTCTCTTGTTCTCTTTGTGCATGGTAGTATGGTTCTCTCTGTATGACGGTTTTCTCTTGCTCTCAAATTTTGTGAGTGGAGGGTCCATCAATGAACGGACGCACGCTCTCCGTCCTATCGATTGGGTGTGTCCTGTTGCAGTTGTCCTTGGTCTATACGGGGGTGTTTGAAAATGCGAGCAGGTGGGAATGAAGAGATGCAGGAGGGTGAGAAGGGAGTGGACGGGGGAGAGAGAGGAGGGGTCTGTAGGGGGAAAGTGTGCGTTTCTGTGTGTGTGTGTGTGTGGTGGTGGGGATGGAGAGAGAGAGAGAGAGAGAGAGAGAGAGAGAGAGAGAGAGAGAGAGAGAGAGAGAGAGAGAGAGAGAGGGGGGGGGGTTAAAACTTCGAAGAGGTAGGTCGCGAAATTCTTTAGACGAAAGCTGTCTCGAAGAGTTGGGGTGGTCGGATTGTTCGGGGGATCCTGTACCGGCATGGTTTGGCGGGAGATGAGTTCGTTGTTTGGCGGGAAATAGGCGAGTACGATGTTTGGCGGGAAATAGGAGAGTTCGATGTTTGGCGGGAAATAGGAGAGCTCGATGTATGGCGGGAAATAGGGAGTAGGAGAGCTCGGTGTTGTGGCGGGAAATAGGAGAGCTCGGTGTGGCTCAAAAATAGGAGTTCGATGTTTGGCGGGAAATAGGAGAGTTCAATAGGAGAGTTCGGTGTGTGGCGCGAAATAGGAGAGCTCGGTGTGGTGGGAAATAGGAGAGCTGTGTGTGTGGCGGGAAATAATGTGGCCCAAAAATAGGAGAGTTCGATGTTTGGAGGGAAATAGGAGAGTTAAATGTTTGGCGGGCAGTTCGATGTTTGGCGCGAAGTAGGAGAGTTCGATGTGTGGCGGGAAGTAGGGGAGTTCGATGTGTGGCGGGAAGTGGGGGAGTTCGATGTGTGGCGGGAAGTAGGGGAGTTCGATG